TGCAATAATTGTCGCGTTATGTGTCATAATTATGGCATTTGGTTTGGTTTTTTTCTACTTTTGATATGTGTAGTGTGTGGCTCAATTAATGTACCGATATAAGTACGTTTGTACATACTAACCTATATACACACATACATATGCACATACTATGTATGTACATGCAATATGCATAGCAATGGTCTAATTGTGCGATTATCGCAGACGTGCGAGGGCTAAACTTTGCTAAATTTCTGTTTATTTGCGTGAATTAATTGCCACAATTGGGGAAAATTGCCGTGATTCCTTTTATATTTGTTGTTTTTGTTTTATTTATTTTGCACTATTTAGTTGTCTTTTGTTTACAGTTCAGCTATTTCACGTAAATACTTAATGGTAGGTATTTTTATGTCCGCCCTCGAAACTGGACAACTACGAAGAGGCATTATTTTATCTTTTAACATTCCTTAACGAGTTTGCATAGTGTTTAATTTGAAAGATACTGGTACAGTTAAAACTGCATGTCACAATCGGATAACAAATTCTGAAATGTAAGTTTGAACATTTAACAGATGTATAACCGAAGCCTTACTACGTGAAAATCAATCGAATCGACAGTGAGAGTTTTGGTTTTGCAAGCACAAGGAGCTCCTTCGAGCCTCCCCGATCCAAGCTAGGTCAGTCGAATCTTTCAATTGCAAATTTCTTAGAGGCCAATCTGTCCTAGAATGAACCATAGAAGGTCAAAGGTGCACCAACCACCTACTCATCTATTGAAAGAATGTTTGCAGGAAGAGAAAAGGCTAAGAGGCGTTTCGAAGACACGGTAATCTCGAAATTGAAATCCTTCAGAACTAAAATTATTGTGGAGTTTAGGAAAATGGGCGTGGTACCACCCTCTTATGACTATAGTATTTTCAGTTTAAATGAAACTTTTTTCAAATTAAATGAACTCATTCCTTTTGAGAATGTTTCATTTTATTTGAAAAAAGTTTCATTTAATTTGAATAAAGTTTCATTGAATCTGAGAAAATTTACATTTCATTTGAAAATGGCTTCGCTTAACCTGAAAAAGGTTTCATTTAATTTTAAAAAGGTTTCACTTAAATTGAAAATGGTTTCATTTAAACTGAAAATGCCACCGGGCATTTATTGTTCGGCGTCGGGCATTTATTGTTCCGAACTTAGACTTCCTTGTATGTAGACCGTTAAGCTTGAATTTTGAGAGGTGTTGGACGCCATTTTAATTTACCCTAATTTGACAAGTTGACTCCAATAGCACATATGTATGTACACTTGTAGTCAGCTGTTTAAGTAAAGTGACATTTTGACGAGTTTTGGGTATTTTTCTCTTGCTTATTTAATGTTTATTATTATTGCTTTATAAAAGTCATATAACCAGCATTGTATAAATCCATATTTCAAACTTTGTACAAAAATTACCAAAAATTCAACAAACTTCACCGATTTCCTGCAAAAATGCACAACACCGGTGCCTACACAAATTATTAAAAATCAACGCGATTTTCTAGCGTTTGAAACTTGCATTTTATTTACTTGTTACAATTTAATGGGCTATAAAACTGTACATATGTATGTATACCTAAAATTTTTCTAAAAATTCTGAATAAAATGTTTGAAATGCTCGGGTAAAATTGGTATAGTTGTTTTATTTTTTATAATTTTTGTATTACATAATATGCTAGACTTTAAAAAAAAAAAAAAATAAACATTAAATAAGCAAAAAAAAAATAGCCAAAACTGGTAAAAAGTCCGTAACTTAGCCAACTCACCCCAAGGGTATGTATGTATGCATATATATAGATTCTTATTCATACATATATAATGAATAACGTACAACCCATTGGCATATTGTTCATTATTTTGACGAATATGCAGATTCTCAAATGTAGCAATGCATGTATAAAATATTGAAGCGTCATAAAATTAAAAAGAAGAAAAAAAGATGTAGTAGGTTGCCTTACCTTCAAATGTGTTATTCCTTAAACGAATAAATTAAACGTTAAACAAAAGACAAGTACGTGCCATTAATGAGCAAACATGAGAAGTATGTTAATGAAAGCACGCAGATATTAGCAATGTTAATCCCGGGATCCCGGCCTTTTTAAGGCATTGATGGCAATAATAGAAACTCCTTTTCTTGACCAGTATTGGCTAAATTTTTTATTTTTTACTTAATAATTAATAATAGAATTTAAACAGATTAAAGTTTTTGGTGCATAAGGACTGGCAAGTATTGAAAATGTCCTTTTAAAATTTTTATCCTTGAAATTTCGCAAAATTTGTTTTTGAAAAAATTGTATGCTAAGGACTTATATAAATTCGATAACATCCTCGAATTTCCCCTTCTAACTTTATAAGCTTAAAAAATTACCTATTCGTCCTAGTGAGTGCAAAAAATTTAAATTTTTTAATTTCTAAAGAAATTTCCTTTTGCATTTGGTACCCATATTTTTATTCTACATTGCATTGAATTATTTAAAATAGTTTTTGGAATTAATCGTATCTTTGAAATTACAAAGTCCTTTAAAATAAATACTGACGTCACAGAGAAAAAATAATAGGTTTCAAACCCATTTATTTATTATTTATTTTATGGTAGGAGAGCTTCTCAAACAATATAGCAGCAATTTCACGATTTAAGTTGTATTGAATATCTAAATCCCGAAATCCCGGGGTTGTGATAACGACACCGCGAAAATCGCGGAATCGTAAATAGCTGTAAAATTAACAACCCTAGTAGGTATGTTCATACCTACAATACATACACATATATATATGTAACTATTTAAAAAAGCATGATGAATGTGTGTACTCGTAATCACTACCCTGCAAAAAATGAGACTAATCCGGGATGACTCTGGGAGTAATCGCAAGGGAGCATGCGACTAATACCACTTTTGATCTCTTTATATGGAATGAACTGATCGCTTTTGTTCGAGCATGTCCTCTGAAGAGACTAATTGTTCACCTTTATACCCGAACGGGTATAAAAAGCGACTAGTCACTTTTAAAAAATAAAAATAAAAATTTGCGCCAGCTGAGATTCGAACCGGGGTGCTCAGTTTTGTTAGGCGAATACTCACTCTGTGTGCCAACGCCGCATTCACTAAGTGCGTACATATCATTAAATCGTTAATAGTACCCGTTAGAGATGAGTTGGGGACTAATTGATCTCCAATTATACCCATAAGGAATGAGTCGTGACTAATTGACCTCCATTTGTACCCGTATGAGACTAGTTGGGACTAATTAATGCCCAATTGTACCCGATTGAGAGTAATCTCGGAATACTCTCTTTAGAGATTAGTCGCACAATTTTTTGCAGGGTATATTATGATCGATGGTAGTATAAGAATGTGAAAATATATCTAAATTTCCTCAAGTGCGGGTAAAACATTTTGCTTATCATAACTATAAGAGTTCGACATATTGACAAGTTTTATTTTAAATAGTTTTTTGTTTTTAATAAAAATTTCAAATTGCAGAAAAAATTATTTAGTAGGGGTATGTATTCTCGGAGTCTTGCAAAGCCCTTGCACGGTGCACGAATTGCACGGAGTGCACGGTAAAAACCGGTTTTCCTATGGGGAAACTTTGCAGACTACGAGAATATCCCTCAGATATAGCCGTAGTGAGAAGTGAACTTACATTGCTAGATTTTCGTTCAATGCTCGTTGAGCTGACCAGACGCGCATCTTCCCAGCTTCAGAACAAATGTAGCCAATGAAGACCTTATAGTTTCTCTCCTTACCCGGCGATAACTCCTGAGTTCTTATATTTATTTATTCTCATCCATAAGTGGTATTCGATTCCTAAGCAACCAATCTACCCTATTTTTCTAAGGTTCAAAAATAGAAATCTTTTGAATAAACGCTTTTGATAACATCAGACGCTGTGGTTAAACATTTGCGCTTAATCGTGTACCACCATAGTTTCGGTTGATATTGTAAAAACTCAGAGGGTAATATAAATAGGAGTCATAGGAAATAAATAAATAATTTTCAAATATAATAGACAGATTCTCTGTACAAATACATACATTTGTGTCAAGATTTTATATTCTCTTCCAATGATAACCAAATAAGTATTAAAAATCGTACGATGCATAAAATTATAAGAAACATACTTACATAGATAGTCTGCGGCATTTCAAAAGAGCTCTGTGACACGCATAAATTCATTTACTAATATACATATATGTTTATGTGCGTAAGTTTATACATAAATGTGTACATGTGGCCCCATTTTACTTGCAGTACCTACACTTATGTACTATGTACGAGGGACGCCTGATAAATTGGTGTCTAAGGTACTTAACCATACTCATCATTTACTTACTGACAACACTAATTAAGTTACTCATTGCTTGTAAAAATAACCTTTTCTTTGTGCGGTTTATAATATTTCCAATGGAAAAAAATTATGTGGAATGGATACCGCGAACGCTCATAACGCCCGACAAGCAGCGACTATTTTAGACTTATAAAAATTTTTTAGAGTTGTGTCAGGGAAACCTGAATTTGTCAGTATGAGCTGCAGTCCAAGCAAGCATCGATGCAGTGCATAAAAAGAAGAAGAAATTCAAAGCAGGAAAGTCGGTGTCGTAGATTATGCCTAAAATTTTCTGGGATAACTAGGAAGGGGACTAAAATGAATGGCTAATTGAATGGGTCTGCAAGACAAAGCATCTGTTCACAACGGTCGGCTTGCGAACGATGCCCTGGAAGTTATGGGATCGACTCTTAAGGAATCAAAGAGTCGAATATTTTTAGACGGCGGCATTTTGAAAAGAAATCTGAAGAATACTTTTTCAGTGCCCTCATTTTCGAAATCATAAAAAATTGTCGGTGCAATTTTCAAAATCAAGTTTTACGTGCTCCTAAATTCGTACAACTCAAGGCACATGAAACAGGCTGTAGCATTAGGACAAAAAACAATTGCGTCTGTTTTATGGTAGCTTCTGGTCTATAAAATGTCGAAAAATATTCAGCTTTTTTTTAGTTATCACAGTGGGCCATGTGAAACATAACCAAAAATTAAACAAAAAAAATAAAATAAAAAAAGTGGTGCGACTTTTTTGGTAATTTTATTTTTGCTTCCAGAGACATTGATCTATTCTCCTCAAGGCTTAATAACCAGTCTTTTTCCTTCTGAGCAGCTAATGCTCGCCTCTTTTTATGAAAAAAATTTCACTTGAAAATACATGTTGCTTATTTAGAATTTTTTAAAATTCGAAAACAATATTTTGACATTTTAGAGACCAAGAATCAAATCAGCTGCTTTACTACTCCATCTGTTAAATATGCCTTGGCAGAGCTGAATCGGTTGAAATGGAAAAGTGCAATTTCATTTTCAATGGTAGGTCGAATGTACATACTGTGACTCAACCAAATGACCAGGTCTTGATTTTCTTAAATATTCATATATTTTTCGAGCTAATTTTTTTGTGTTATTTTTCTATAAAAATTCCTTTATAAATATATATGTATGGCTTAATTAAAACCATTTAAATCATAGTTTTAAACTTTATGAAAATTTTAGGAAAATTTATCAAATTTTTAATCTAAATGTTTAGAACATTTTCGGGTACGCACTTTTATAGCCCATACAAATTTAGTCTAAAGAAGTGCAAGTTTCAAGCGGCTAAAAACCGCGGGAATTTTTTTTTTCGAGACTGTTTTTGTGTTTCTTTTTATATAACAAGAGCAATTTACAAAAACTGGCGTGGGTTTTTTTTTGAAAAAGTTTGTTGCTAACGGTCTCCCGAATTTTATTTTATAAGAAGTTCATGCTTATATGGAAACCCCAAAAATATTCTAAAGATTCAGATTAAAAAGTGGAAAGTTTTTTAACAATTTTATGAAATTTTACATAAAGTTTGAAACTGTGATTTATATGGTTTTGGTTAAAGCTTGGACGGTATTTTTATAGAAATATAGCAAACAAAAAAATTAGCTCGAAAAACATTGCAAATATTAAAAAAAATCAACTCTTGGTCATTTGTTTGACACACACATATTCATACACATACTTATCCGTCGCCCCACGTATATACTACGTACATAAAAATTGCTTGGCTATGGACATTAAAAACTCATAAACCTTCGAATAATTACACGGACATAAACTTGATATTGAAATTGAGTTGAAAATGTCTACACATAAACTTATACGATGTAAATATTAATACTGATAATAATACTCATAATTTATGTGTCCGGTTAGGACATGTATGAAAACATAAATATTTATCTATCTTTGTATGTGAATATGCATCTAAGTGCATGAATATGAATGCAACTGATTGGTTATGCGTGCACGCGTATCCTTTGCGTAAAGCTAAAAGTTATTGTAGCCACTTGACGACGTGACGCATGACGAATAGTTCCGTGCCGGCAAGATACAGTCAAGTGTTTTCCCATTCAAAAAAAAAAAAAAAAATTGACTATAATCGGAAGCGCTCGAAAGATCCAAAAGAAGCTTAAAAAGATAAAGAAAAAAACCCAAAATAAAAAACCAACACCTAAACGCATATTTGCTAATTAAATACAGACAATTCCACAAACTGCGGTTACAATAATCGATAAACAGTCATATCCGCACAAGAAACGTAGGAAGAAAACATTGCGAATACCCTGCAGGGAATTCGACACGGCAGAACCTACTACCAGCACAACAGAAGGCGCACCCACAAGATTACAGATGGGATCAAGACACACTTAACCATACCACTTGACCCGACGACGCGAGGTGCCGACAATCTAATCTACAAACGATATTCATAAGAGAATGTCCATGGCCCCCTCCAGAGAGTCTCGTCTCAATCGCAGACGATGAGATTCAGATTTGAGCTCTCTGCATGGCAGAAAGTTTGTAACTGCTTCTTGTGTAACCCTGCGGAAAATCTGTAACTACTTCTTTTGTGTACAAATAAACATTTTTGGGCTAGTTCAGGGCTATTTTAGGACTATTTTGGGACTATTTTAGGACCATTTTTGAACTAGTTCGGAATAATTTTGGACTAATAAGGGCCTGTATCGGTACCATTTCAAGACTTATTCTTATTTCGGGACGATTTATGGCTGGTTCAGGACTATTTCCGGATCATTTTGGGACTATTTCAGAAACATTTCGGGACTAGTTCGGAAAATTTTTTGGGACTAGCAAGGGACCATTTCGGGATCGTTGCAAGCTCACCGGAACAAGCTTACGACTTTTTCAGAACCACTTGAGAACAATTTTGGGCCAAGTTCGGGATCATTTCGGGATAGTTCGAAACTTGTCACGAAATTATCCTGAAATAGTGCTGAACTATTCCCGAAGTGGTTATGAAAAAGTCAGGTATTTGTTCCGCATAAAGGAATAGTATGAAACGCGTAAATACTTTGCCAAGCCGTACGAAGATGTTTGCACATCAAAATTTTATGAGCACCTGTAACGTACGACTATTTTTTCTCGTCTTCCAATTAAGCAAACAGCTCCACTCTGTAACTATAACTAGGGGTATTCACGCGTTAATGCGAAATGCAATTGCAACGGTGCGAAATGTGAAAATGCATAATTTTATCAACAATAAACAGCCGAAAATCTCGCATCAGTCATTGCATTTGATTATGGTAGGTACAGATTGAAATGCGATGACTGATGTGAGATTTTCCGATGTGCAGCTGTTGACAAAATTTCGCGATTTCGCATTTCGCACTGGTGCAATGCATTTCGCATTAACGCCTGAATACTCCTACTGTAAATGACCAACTTGTGTAATCCCTGCTACAGTGAAAAAAAATATGTAGAAGCTTTCAACAATGACCTCCGATTCACATGCATGTAGATAATTGTTTTAAATTTGTCTTACTTAGGGTCAAGTTTTCTCTGCAGGGAAAGTTTCGCGTCACAAGGAATATAAGTATTTTGGCATTTAGTGACAGATGCCCAAAAAAACTTTGAGTGGACGTTTTATTTTGCCGCGTTTGCGGTAATCACTTGCCGCGGCGGCTTATCTTCAATGAGTAGACAAGCACCCAAAGCGTCGGCGCGGCGCACAGTGTAACGTTCCCATATAGTGAGTGGCCAAAAGTAGATGAATTTGTCGCAGTTGAATGAAATTTTGCACAAAGGATTTGCAGGCATATGTTAAGAAACTTTTTAAACTTGAGTAAAATCGGATGAAGGACTCGCCTATCTCTCCTAGAACTGGAAACTAAAAACTTCGGTTTTATATACCAAATTTAGTCCGATTGAAAAAAAAATTATTATATGTGCAAGAATTGATTATATCTTTAACATACATGGACATTTTTAAAGTTGTTCCGATGCCACGCTCACCTGCTATATTCAAAAATATATAAGATATAATATTATGCAAGTTGAAATAATAATAATAATAATAATAGATTGGCGCTTACACATCTGTTAGTGTTTGACCGAGCTTCTCCTCCGATTTGTGGCGTGCGCCTTGATGTTGTCACACAAAGAAGAGGGACCTGCAGTTTTACGCTGACTCCGAACGGCGATTGAATTTTTATTAGAAGCTGTTTTTCATGGCAGAAACACAGTCGGAGTTATGCCATTGCCTGCCGAGGGGCGACCCCTATTAAGAAAAAAATTTGTTTCAAAATTTTTTGCGATGTTGCTTTGACCAGGGCTTGAATCCACGTCCTGCGGAGTGAAAGCACGGCTTACCACTACACCAAAGGTGTTATTACTTAGTGAATATTTTATTTTTTAAACTCTCAACTTTGAAAAACGAAAAAAAGTAGGTATGCATCAAAATTTTGGGAAAATATTTCGATTCTATTTATGCTTAAGTAGGTATTTGCTGTCGATTGGCACTCAAATTTTTCCGAATTTGTCAACTTCATATATAAAATTTTGTCCGCATTCGTTACACTGTGCGGCGTCTCAATGCGAATGTTAATGACCATCGCAACAGCAGCAAATAAGCGTATCGTCATTGTATGTAGCATACATAAATGTACATATATATGTATGTACATAAGTATGTAATATAAGGGGATTTGCCATTGTTGAAGTGCAGTTGTTTAAGTGACCCGAAAGTTAGTAAAATTCAATATATTGGTTTTCGCGTTTATATAATCCGCCTAACTGTCGTCTTCCTTATTATTGGCATACCTTTCTGTTGCATCCAAATAAATGCATAAATGCATACATACAACATATGAACATTACATTGTCCTGCAAGAAAAAATTATCAGTTGATAAAAAATAATCCACTTGTAGTTAGCTTTTTTGCGGGATTTCTATAAAATATGTAACTTGTAGTTAGCTACAAAAAGCCAACTTGAAACTAGTTGACAAGTAATGCAGGAGTACTGAGGAGATTGTTTTCTTTAAACGCATTTCTATTTAAATATCCTGCACTTCGCAAATACTTTTTCGAATTGGGGACGAATAAAAGGAAATTCGAAATTTCATAACATCCTTTTGAAGTTATTTCTTACGGAGTTCCAATATGTGACCACCTGCAGCAGAATATGTAAACAAATATGAAACATAATAAAATAAACAAAGTAAATAAAAAAATATATAAATTTTTTTCCTATTGATATTTTATGTCCAAAAGTAGTTAGTTACATCAAATGCAGAGGTAACCACCCTTGACTATTTCGCGGCCATCGCCAAAGAAATATATGTAGTTAGCTTTCGTCAAAGAAAATATACAGATAATAGTGACTTTTAGCACCTTTCTAGCCAACTCAAAGTTAGCTTATAGTTAGATGCAATTCCTGCAGGGTGATGTGTACTTACTCATCTCTAGTCGCCAAAGCCCGCGCAAATCATGTTCATGTACTTACATATGTATGTACATTCGTTGACTGCATGCAGGCAATCGTTACCATTTGACTGTTTTCGACACTGCAATTGTGGGCTTTACCAAGTTAATATTTAACTGCAGTCTGACGAAGGTCAGTTTTAATTTTAAACAGTCACTCTTTACTTAACTTGACCGTAGTTAAGGATTTGCTTGGCGCAAAAATTTGCCTTAACAAATTATGTACTACTTGTGTTGTCTCAATATCAGGTAGAGACAAAGTGAAGGTGATTTTGGCAATGAAGTCAGAGTAGTTATTTGTGTATTTTATCTTATAGCATAGACAGACGGCAACGTCAATACGGATTAATTACGCAGTTGATCAGAACAAAATTTTACCAAGGCAAACGGCACCACATTGGATTAAGCGAGTTCGAATCTTTGGTTTCTTCAATTATATTCATCAATTTAACAACAAAAACGCCCTCAAGTTTTTGTATGAAAAAAAAATACTTAATTTTTTACTTAATTACTTAATTTTTTTTTTACTTTATAACAATGGTTGTGGACCCTTCTGATAAAATTAAATACGGAATAAAATAAAAATTTAATTAACTGAAAATATCAATGTGAAATAAAATAAAATACAAAAAGCATATCGACTGACTAGAAGATCGCCCTATCTCGGCAGCCAGTTCGACAACACCCTGTCTCAAAAAGCTTTTCAAGAATGCCCTATTAGCCCTCAAATTAGTTGTGCTTGTTATTCTCACATATCATGGAAAAGTTATGTTTCTACTCTGTGCCACCGTGATCCCTTTTTTCTGCTTGATTAAGCAATTTGAATATATTTTAACTTAATATTTTATTAAAAATACCTTTACAAACCTTTTTTCCTTCCTAGCGTCCCTTTTTGTTTACTTTTACATTTGACACTTCTCCTCTTCTTCGCAAAAATAATCGATAAAACTAAGTTGGACAACGAAAAGTTATCGGTTAAATCTGAGATTATTTCATAATTACCGATTAACGAGAGACGAATTTTGTATGACTAATCTCTTTTTATAATTACAGAATAGGGAGTTAAGCTCGAAAATGAGGATAATCTACTCACTAATATCTAGCATAAAACTGCGTTTTCAGTTTTTCTCTCTGCCATCAGGTTGTTATAGGAATTTGAAATCGCAAAGATATGATTAGTTCCAAAACTTATTTAAACAATTCAGTGCAATTTAGAATAACAATATGAATATCAAGTGAAGGAGATAATATTGTGTAGAATTCACAATTATACAATTTTTTGGTGCATAGGCACGAATAGGTATTGAAAGTAAAAAAAAATATTAAAAATTTGATTTTTTTAATATTAAAACTATATTTAAAAACTAAAAAAAAAAATTATTAAAAGGGTATTTTCAATACAAATTCGTCCTGGTGAAACAAAAAGTATATTTGGCCCCTAATTTCGTGAGTATATTGTTTCGTGCGTTTATATTTTTTTGTTTTTGTTGTACGGTGTTGCAATTTAATTGCAGAGATTAGTGTATTAGGGGTGTCTACAAATCAGCCGTACGTTCGTTATGCTTAAATCGACTTTGCCTTATCGGAAAGGATACTTCTTTTAGTAGCCCGAGACTAACGAACTTGGAGCTTTTTGAAGATTTCGATCAAGGGGGCTATGGGTGTAAAAGATTTGTCTAAAACACTGGTAGGGAAAGGCCAAATGAAGAACAAAGCATCCTTGGTTAAGCTCTGTACGCGACATGGATGAAGGGAATATTTAAATCAGCGGAATTTGCGGACTCCGCCGTGTCTTGGAACGAGTTTACAGGTCTTCTAAAGAACTAAATTAAAGCCATATGTAGATAAAAAAAGCTTATTAAAAGAAGCTCGTCGCAGAATTTCAGTATTGGTCTCGACCAAGGAATCCATTCAAAAGAATTTACTCAAAATGACGAGGAATCGTTTGAACTACTGCTACATAGTCATAGGCGCAACCAACCATCAGAGAAAGAGGAAGCATTATTGGAAATCTCGTGTCACCATTCAGACTGGGTTGTGGGTTGAACTCTTTCTCTAACTTTAAGTCACCAGGTCTAGATGACTTCTTTCGTGCGTTGTTGCTAAAGTAGGATAAGCACGCTTCCACGAAGGGAAGAACGATGGACACCGCTCTACACCATGTTCTTAGACAAATAAAGGGCGGCGCTTGAGAATGGTAAATTCAAGGTCTCAAATCAAGCCATTTTAGATTTATTTTTTATTTAAAAAATTTGCAAAGGAAGAGCACTTAAGAGGAAGAACACTTTAAGCATTCTAGTTGTGTTGAATAATCTTTCATGCATTGTCAGTCAGCTCGACACGCAAACCTCCCATAGGACAAAATAGCTTAATATTTGTTGTACTTCAAATATGTATTTCAATGACAACTGTGACAGCTAATTTTCCAGAGCCCATTATCTACGCACGCACATCTCCACGAGAATTCCACAAATAGCTTCCGACATTTAGAATAGCATATCCTTGCACCTCCGCTCAAGATAATATTCGCTCCTACTAATATATATATATGTAAATTGTTCCATCAAACCAACAATAAACACACATAACACCTAACTAAACAACAAGCTTCAAAAAAAAAAAAACAATACATTCATAATCACACCAATGATTATTTAAATATGTAGAAATTACATACAGCATATAATGCGTGTACTATAAATGTATGTACTTGGCTATGTACCCTGTAGGGAAATCCCTTAATACCGAACTCAACCGTCTCTAGTAGGGATGAAACATACGAGTAAATAAATACAAGCGCATACTCGATATTTTTCGATCGATACCAAGCAATTTTGGTATCGAAAAAAAAATATTTGGATCGAAACCCGGATTTTTTTCCTACACTGTTATTCCTAATATGAATCGCTCTGGGCGAAAGTGGATTTAATAAGGTGGTGTTGGGGCGACAGCTGAATTTTTCGCCGTTTAGAACATTACGTCAAAAAGATGTGTTTGGTGTACAAAATTCGTAGTTTTTTTTTACATACATATGTACATACGGCCGCCACTACCTTCCATTACTTCGTCTTGGACTTTATGGGCATGGTTTAGTTCATACGGAATACCTTCATCGATACTTTATTTCCATACTACTTCAAAGTAAAAGGATCGATACCTGCATGATTTTAGGCAATTTTAAACTCTTTTCAAACTAAGCAATAAGGCGATAACTTAGGCGCCAAATGCTACGACAGTTTCTAAATAGTACGCTTACTTCTTGCATTACCTCTTCGCCAGTTGCGAGGCAGTGTGGTGGCGTACCAATCCTCGTAACGACTCCTGGCGCAGATATATTTTTTTATCCTTTTTTGCTTCAGTTAGTTTGGTTTTTTGATGAATCCGTTTTTTTTTGTTTTTTTTAAATCATATTAAACAATTTTTATTGAGCTTGAGGCCGTTAAAAAAAAATTATTGGAAAAACAACAACAGTTTTATAAATGGTAGAAGTTACAGCAGCTATTTCGGAGATCACCGCATTTCCTCATCAGACTTCTTCATCGAATTCATTTGGATTCGAACCGGCGACTTCAGCATACAGCATACCCACTGCGATAAGTTCGCAAAAATTAAAAAAAATCCGTATCACCTTCAGGCGCGCTGGAGCCTGCTTCTTCAGATCCGTAAGTTGTAGTCTTTGCGTGATGCCACAGTCGAAAATTCGCTGAAGGGCTATGTTTATTGCGAGTGGTTCAGAATTGTCAAAGTCATAATAGATACCAGATTTTTTTAGTTCATGATTTTCCTGCTGGGTAGCTGCTACAGCAGCAAACTATGGATAAAGCGGCAAGCCAAGAAGCAAACTGGCAGCATATCAATTCATAACATTAAACAAACAATAATAAAAACGTGTCCAACACTTGAGAGCCCAACCTTATGCCACACAAATTTCCTAAGAAGCTAGAACCCCCTGGGCTAATAAATAAGTACTCATGCATACTCGTACGAAGAAGCAAAAACAACAACATTTAATTTTCATTCTCTCTTTGGACGCTTATTGTGAAGGTAAAAAGCAGCATGATCGTTGAAGAGAAGAGCCGTGAGCAATGTACAATGTACATACATACATACATACATACGTGTACAAAAAATAAGGCCCATCATCAATTGGCGTCCGAAGAATTCTATGTTGGTAGCAAATGTAATTTTTTGACGCTCTGAAAATGTGCAAGCATTCAGCTGCAGGCTACGATGGGCACAGTCTAAATAAAATTGTTAGTACAGAGGGACAAAATAATAGTAAATATGAGCAGCTGCGGATGCAGACGTGTGATGTATGGAAGATTTTATCATTTATAAGATTTTCTTGAACTTGAGTAAGTGAAAAAACAGGAGATGCGTAATACAATACAAATTTTGACAATTTAGTTTATATATCGAGATCGATAGCAATCTACTGCGCCGGTGGATTGAAATGGGCACAAGTGCGAGGAATGACTTCATGTACATATCTCTCCAGTGACGCTAAACCACGACGGTTCGAGGATAACAGTAACCAATAACCATAGCAAACATAGCAGATTCTGGGTAGGGACACGAAGTTCGATACGATACGATACGATATCGACATTTTTGCCGTTCGATACCGATACTTTTTGCTCGATAGTTTTCAAACGATATATTTTGGATTCGAGTAGCAGAACCCCCCTTGTATCCTACTGACTTGTAAATGTAGGTACATTACAAAATTCATTTGATTAATAACACGTTGTACATTATATCCAAAATGAAAAAATCTTTCCCTCTTTTATCAGCCGAAGTATCTGGCATTATGTGGAGACTCCCCACACGACACCGACCACCGTTAGTTGAACTTGACAACAACGACTGATGGACAAACTGAAATAAGCGGGGCTTAGTAGTGCCGCTACAACAACAACAACCTGGCGTTACATGACGTTACATTATTAAAATTTTCATTGAACATTTTTTTAATATTGTTTTTTCCGATGGAAACGCCCATATGTCTATACTTTGGAATTTATATGTAAAGCAATATGGATATATTTAGGGCTTTAAAGAGCCCAAATGTGTACACACTTAACTCCATATAACCAAACACTTATTAAAGTCATTCTTTATTAGAAAATTAGACCAATATTTAGATTTAATGTTTTGAATTTGGTAAATATCCAGTCTTTTTAACCAGATATTGATGGGTACCCAATCCTGAACTTTTTTTTTTAAACTTACAGGGTTACTTTAAATGAGTACTTTATCGATACTTTCAGTTCGATATCGTTTCCTTTATTCTGGGAGAAAAAGTAAAAAAGTGCCGCCCGCGCTGATCAGAATCAAGGCTACACACTGGTGAAGCTATTACCACACAACAGAATAACGAATTTTTATCAAAATTTTGCTTATTCCAACTCTTTGAAACTTAAAGCCTCGTCATATGATTTTTCCGAGAAATTGAAAAATTTATAGAAAGCTGGTAATGTACTGAATCAGCACAGCTGGGGAAGACAGCGGAAAACATCTTTCTGGTCACGAAAACTATCCAGACTTATCCGTTTAACTCTAAAAGTAATATAAATAAAGGACGAAGTTTATCAGTAAGTGAGACAATCTGAAGACGAGCAGTTGAGTCCAGATTGTGCAATCGGCATCCGACTAGAAACCTTTCAGCTAAAAATCGGACCTACTGGAATTCGCAGAGCCCATCTCGCTAGGCGGTGCTTTTGTCTTGACCGATACTGTATATATATATAACGAACTTTTTTTTACCCATATTTAGTAAAACGTTTTATAACTAACTTTTATTGACTTGTGTAACTGTCGCTGCATTTAGTCCAAAACTAGAAAGCAGCAGCTCTCCCATTTTAAGTAGCTGCAGAGCCAGAAGCGATGATGGACGTGCATTCAACATTGGTACAAACACATAGACATTTATAAATACTACAGATACATACATGTATATGCATGGATGGATGTTTATGCACCTTCATTAGGGCGGGTTGATTTAATTGTGAATGAGAGACAATCACTGCAACTGTGTAGATATTTTGTTCGTGGACAAAATACAAATTTCCAGCTAACCAGCAGAGCCCGCAAAGCGCACAATTAGGACTCCCTGTGCGGTGCGCTGATCCTTCTAGGGAGGCCCCGAAAAGAATCCCAAAGGAACAGATCCGCTGGAAAAAAGGGCCTTTCATTATATATGTAAAAAAAAATCTGCCTAAAGAACTCCTTAAAGGAGGGATTACGGAGTGGCAGAAAGCTCACTCAGATAACCCCCGAAGAATCCGCGCGGCCTCATTTTTAACCCATTATTTGTTTAAAAGGACTCCTTACATCATCCAAAGATAAGCTAGGTTGAGTGTTTTTGTATTGTTTTCGGGCTCCAATAACGATCCGAAGAGGAAGCTTTATGGTTTCTCCAAATTTTTTTTACTATTTAATTGGGAACTTCCCCAACAATTTTCATATTTTACGCTTTTCCTAACAAAATTTGTTGGGATGTAGTCTTATTTTTAAAATATTGAAATAAATTTTGGTAAGCTTGGGTCTCGAAACTTAGTTTCAGAGGCTTATCCCACTGCCATATGAATGTAATCTAGGAATAGAAAAATTATTAGTGGTGACATTTTGCCTACCGGAAGGTAGAAGTTCTCGTCAGAACAGGACTTGTCCCCGTGCTATGCGAATAATTCGCCAAAGATTGTCAATACAGTTTATATAACTCGCATAATTCCTTCCTTTTTAACGCCGTCGGATGTTCATTTCATTCAATTTCATACATTTATCGTTATCGTCTGACTTCAGTTGCTTGAAAATGCAAGCGCTGGTCTAGCACAATCTGTCATAATAAATATATAAAAGTTCACTTTAGAAAATAATTTGGCGTCAATGCAGACAGACGATAAGGCAAATTCCCACCAAGAATGGCGAAAATTCGTTCCACAATCCATCATACCATATGAAACCCCTGGCATATTATCCCTTAAACGTCCTGAGCATTGACAGAACCTCAATCAGGATCTCTTTTCGAATGGCATTTGGTAGAAAAACGATTTGTGAAGTGCAACTTTTTAGGCGACTTTGGAGATGTTTGCCCTAATGTACTTTGAATACAAAAATGCAATGCACATTGCAACTATGTACACAAATAACCGCATATTAATGTATTGACTCTCGACACATACCAACAACGCATACTTACATACATATGTACATTAAGGTGGTGGATATTTTTTTTCAGCCACCCGGTAGAATTTAAAAATATCGAAAACAAGGAGGCGCGTATTTTTTTAAATTTGAAATTGGACAATATTTAACCGCGCCGCTTAAAAATAAATATTTTTTCATTTTCAATAAATTAAGTTATTATGCATTTAATTGGATCAAAAAATATTTATTTTTATGCGGCACGATTCAATATTATACTTTGCCTGATCGTGGCAGCGGGAATATATCAAAACGTCGATTTTCCTGTGTATTTTTGGACCACCCTAATGCATACATATGTATAACGATCAGGCAAAGACAGAAGGAGCGCGATCAAGAGTACGCCGCTCAACGCTGCGGGATTGGGAAGAAAGCAAACGATACCCGTATGATTCCACAGCAGACGACGTACGACGTCAACAAACCCGCACAACCGACTCAGGCAAGTCAGAGGCCGATTTGGGCATAGGCGGTGGCGGCGACGACGGCGATGGTGATTGTTGAAGATCGAGGACAAAAAAAGAAAGAAAAGAAGACAATGCCATTGAGTACCTATACATACGACGTACATATGCATGTTTGTATGTACACAATGCACATTGCCGGTACCGGATCGAGGATTGCAGCCGAATGGCGGGACAAGGAGTAAGCAGTTATTGCTGATGAGTTTTATGTTGGCCGACGACTTAGAGTGTATGTATGGATGTACGTAAATACTTATGTATATGGCTATGTAGTGGTTCTCAATGTTGAGGAAAAGTGGATTTGAGTTCTCCAAATCAGTTTCAGTTTCAGTTCTTCACGTGTATTGGACGCGAACGGTTCAAGAAGAGACCATCGTTAGTTTTTCAACCACAAGTTTAGGAAAAGAAGACACAGCAATAGATATAGAAATACTCGTATCTAGAACAGATTTGGTTAGAAGTAAAATATGTACAAGTGCTTAAAGTTGGAGTGGCAAAGGTGTTTGTAGCCACATACGGTGCGGATACATACCTACATACATACTTTATATGCGGTAGAGTGTCTGACTTTCGCGGAATTTATGTGTTTGTTAATGCCCTGTCCAGGTGCATAAAGAGTGATTAGTAAAAACTAATTAGTAAAAACTAAGTTCATGCAATGGTTTCTGGGCAATCGCCCAACGTGAAATATTATTACTGAAAAGTTCGATGTAATTTGTGCTTTGAAAAAACTTTAAGTAATTACTTTTTTCTTCACTTCAACGCCGTTTATTTTTTCTCTAACGCACACGGTTGCATCTTCATTTGTTGCTGTTGCTTCCTCCTATAAGCTTTTCCGTCCCCGAATGCGATCGGTTATTGTTGCAGTGGCAGCAAGACAAGTAACAAGACTTTATTGACTCAGGGGCGCTGTCAAAACACAGAAGAAACAACAACAAAAAATAAATAAATAACACAAACCAATCAACTACCGGCCATAATGACGAGAGCTAACAAAACAACAAAGTTAAGCCACCAGAAACAAACTAAGAAATTCAGCTGCGACAACAAGTTTTATACAAACATCGACAGCAAAACATCATGGTGGCTTCGCAGCGAAGACATGAATGGCACCAACGATAATTGCAGCTGCCACAAAGAAAGACGTTGCAACAGGTTAACCTGTTGTCGCTATGACACCACCGGCTCCAGATTCAAAAGCAGCAATCGCGAAGGTTGGCAACTGTATGTCTTGATGGTTGTTCTGTGGATAGTAGGTAAGTTGTTAGTAGTCATCCACTCCATCAACGATAGTACCAAGTATGTATGTACATGCCAATAAAATTGCTACAGGCATTTGCAGCGTTAACGTAGACATCTCTAAACATGCTAGTCGCATCAACAACACTGCTGGTGTTTGGTGCTTCACTTCCATTTGCAAATTCATCTCGATCAGCTTGGACTGCTAACTGGTCGCTCGCCTTGCTGCTCTGCCTCTTGTCCTATCATTTTTGCAACTTCGCGTAGGCCACTTATTTCAATAAGCTGTCTGCCACTCTTTGTTGACTCTTAATAACCAATTTCCAAAGTAGCGTGCGTAATTGACCTACGTTTCACTTAGATCTGATTTTCTCTGACAGTTCGAAAAATTCAAATTGAAAGCCATCAATCGACCGAAATTTTAATAGCGCGGTTTTCAGCCCAGTCTTTGGTATTGCTGTAATAGATCGCTGGGAAGGTTGTAGGCTTTGAACCATTTCCCTACCTCAGATCCCTTTCTTGCGCACTCGTCCGCAAGTGCTTCGTGCCACGGTGCTTCGGAACGCAGTAAAAGTTAGGTTAGGTAAGCACAGAAACCATTAAGGTCCATAGCGTTGGCAAATAAACTACGAACACTTCGGACAGCTAATCCATACGTATCAGGAGCAATACTGAAGAAAATCGCGGTCCTCTTGGCAAACTGGTACACAAACTTGTCGGCGACTTCCAGATTAGGTAGAAAACC